ATTAAAAAAATATTTTTGATGTGCTTCTCTTAAAAGCTGATCAATTGTAGAAACTTTCGTTTCGTTTTGCAGACTGTATGGAATTTCTTAAATTTAAAATTTTTTCATGCGATCTAATTCTTAAAATTTATTTTATATGGAAAGAATTTATCTTATAAGCACGAATACAAATTACAGTCGTTTTAAGAGCAACATTTATTTAAAATCAGTAATGAGTTTGGCGATCTTGTGCCATCAAATTAAAACAATAATAATAATTCAAATTATACTTCTCTCCTACAGAATTATTCAAAAAGGCAAGAGTATTTACAGCAGGGTTTGTACAATTCGAACCCAAAATTGGTAAAAATCTCAAAATTTACGCAAAATACTTATTTTTGAATAGATAGATGTGAGCTAAATATTGATTTTCATATGAGGTGACTCTTAGACGAATTAATTTCATATAACCAGGACGTTAAGTCCCGATTTGCCCACTAGAAAATCACAAGGAGATGTCTTTCTATCAAAGCTGACAATTATCGATGCGATTCCAATTTTTGTACCGAAAAACGTGATAAAATTGCAATTTTTTTAACGAAATAGCAATAAAACACCCAGATTTGCACTGTAAGACTAGTGAAGATCACGACTTTTTAAAAAGAAGTTGAATAAAATTTTATTTTGTCTGGTAGTTGTCGGAAAATTTCAATTTTGCCTGCTAGTGCAGAATAATGAAAGAATTAAAAATGCAAACACTATAAACATAAAAATAATTTAAAGGCATATTAGAAATCATGCTAGAAAAATTTGAAAAAACTTAAATTACCTTTATTTATGCTTTTACTTCACCTTCAATTTTCTGAAAAGAGTGCAAAAGATTTTTCCAGATCGTAATGTGAAATTTCACCGAGCTCCCAAACCATGTGTGTTGATAACCAATTCTACTATTCGAATGACCATTCAGTAACATGGAACGTGTGACGAAATCAGTGCTCGAAAATATACAATGAAACTTCAATTTCATTAGTCAGCTTCTTTCTTTTACCCTCTGACCGTGATCGCTGAGTCAGCATGGCAACGTGCAGTGCCGCGCCTATATTCCTTGTCGCGGAAAAGTCAGGCGATAATATCAGTGGTGTTTTGAGTAGAAAAAAAATATTATTTGTTGATTTCGATGGGCGCTATGCATATTTTAAGCTAAACCTTTGTTAAAAATTCAATGCATGAAAATACGCCTGGCTAGTTTTTTAAAGCGTATTTCCATTTTTCAATACGTGAAATATGCTCTCAGTGGTGTTAAAAATATCTTTGCATCCATACCTTCAAAGTCATCATGGCCTAGCTTTTTAGCGAGTTCTTCTGCTTTGTATTTTAACATTGGGCCGCTTACTCACCCAGATCATTCAGTAACAATGGCAAACCATTCATTAAGGGCCTCATCGACATCTGGGTCCTTGCCTTCATGCTTCCGTTTTTTGAAAGCTCCTCCTCGTCCTTCACATTGTGCCCATTCTTCTTGCAGCTCATTCTCTTCTTTACCAGCACGAAATGTCGTCTTTGCATTCGGTTATGTACACCACCCGACCTGACTAGTTTCGTGTTGTTGCTTGATCTTATCCAGAAAACCAATTTTTTTCAGCTAACTTCAAGTCTCGTTGTAGCATTTTAGCAGGGGAGACAAGACATGTGCACAGTTCACTGATTAAAGTGGTCTGAAGAAACTTTGGTGTTTCGGGGCCAAGATGTTGAGGTCAAGAGGGAGATAAAATGCTCGCCATTCGAAGCTTTGTCACTAAAATCATCCCAAAAGGTTGGTGATATGATAGAGTTATCATGTAAACTTTAATCATGATTAACAGACTGGAATTCCTTTCAGGTGGAGCAGGAGACTCTATTGTTCATTTACTCGAAAATCGGAGACGCAGTGGGACCAATAATCTCGCTGGCAGATACTAGTCGCTCTGTTTTAAGAAAAGTCAAAGAAAATGGTGCGCGTGTTCACCTCCAAACCGATTTTGCTTTTGTCATGACTTACGGATTCCTGACTTTGATAAAATATTTCCTAGGGGCCGCACTACAGATCCTCCCATATGCATAGACTCCAACCTCAGCAACCTTGTCAGTAGTCAAGCGTGAACGACATTTACAACTTTGAATGTGCGCGTAGCGTTGTTGTAATAACCATTCATTAATTTAATAATAATAATGTAATCAATGTTATACATTTAAAATCCATATACATATAAAACTGAAAATTAAAAATTACCTTGTAAATTCTATGCACATTTAATTAAAATTTTCTTTTAATCTCAAGCATTCAAATAAAAAGTACTTCAAATAACTACTAATATGAAAAAATCAGAAGCTATAAATCATATCTTTATCTGGTATGAGTTCTAAGGAAGAAAATTAAAATACCAGATGAACATAAGTATTAACAAAATACGCTAATTTTGAAGCCAAGATTACATGTAGCATGCTTAGCAAGCTAAGTTTGATTTGAGAATGTTTTTTTTATAACAAAGTTTTATTTGCCTGAAATTTATTTTTTCAATCAAAACTGCCGCAAGAGTTTTAAGACCTAAATTTGGTCGAAATTACGTCTGATTTTTTGGTAACAATAGAAAAAATCTTTCGCAAGCTGCATTTGATGAGGATTTAAGACACAGCATTACGAAGCATACGGTGTATTTAACACCCATAATTTTTTAATTGGCAAATTTCTCCCATGCTATATCAATAAGAATCTACAATTTCTTCAATCATCTACTGATCATGGAAATTCAATTCTACTGATAAGACATTTTTCATCAATAAGGGATGGAAAAGTCTTCATCAAGTAAAGAACGATGAAAAGAGACTTCAGTTCTCAATTGATGACACTTCAATGTTTAGAAATGGATCCTCAGTGGAAAGTTATCAATATATATGAAATGCAGTGTACAAAAAAAGCTCGCACAGATTGAAAATGTTTTACTTCACTTTCATTGAACTTGGCATAGTTAAAATTGATAGTCTTGTTTCGCCCAATCACTAAATTTTCTTTCTTTTGTTTACTATCTCTGAATGGAAGACGTTAGAGAAATCTTCATTTCTTTAGAATTACTGCTGGTTTTACGAATCTACAATAAAATCATTAAAGTTCAAAAAGTTTCTTTCAATTATGTTATAGGGCTTGTTGTTGCAATTACTATTTCTGTTATAAACAAAGGCAACGTCTTTTCAAAAATAACAGTACAATTGGTGTCGGTGACTGTAAATTTTTTTATGTTTGCTTTCTTCCTTCATTCTCACTGTTATCTGGTTTATCTCCAAAAAATTATCGCAGCATACCACTGTTCCAAAATACTGTTTAGATTCTAAAGAGACAACCATCTCGTACTGAATATTTCAAAATTTTATGAGATTTTGCATTCTGTCCCAAAATTGTTGAGCAACTTTGAAGCTTGCTTCCGTTTCGAACTTTTCTCCAAGTAAATATATCTATTATTTCAACATTCATTTCTGACCAATAATTTTTCAGTAGCTTTTGCGTTATGCAAGAGGTGCACGGACCCCGGGTGATTACTGGTTTATGCATTTGATAAATGATGCTACACCTTTAAACTTTCCAATATTACTAGCATTATCTAAGAAAATGATAAGAATTGGTTCCATTCTAAACTTTGTTTTTAAAGTTTTCATTATACAATTAAAAATACCTTCTCCGTATTATTCGTGCATTCTAAATAGAAATCAATGAGTAATTATAATTTTTCTTTTTACTGAGATGTTATAACCAATGGTACGTTTGTTATCATTGTTATCTTACGTCCATCATACTAGGAAAAATGTTACTGCACTGATTTTATAATCAGCAACAGTTTTTCTGAGCGTTTTCACATAGCAGCAGTTTTGGTATGAACGCAGCTAAATTTTTTTGCTATGCAGAATCCGGAAACATTGCTTTAAAAGCTCTTTGATGATCCGAACAGAAGGTAGATTAGTTCAATAAAAAACGAACAAATAGCATTCGGATTTATAGGAGCTGTTCAATCATTTTTAGTAAGAAATTGTTATTTCTTTAATTTTCCGGTGCCATCGTTCTATATGCTTTTAGGAAACACATGACGTTTACGTCATCTTTCGCCATGAGCACTGAGAAGTTTTGTTCATACACTGCAGTGTGCGGATCACAGAAAATTCGGAGCTGAATGCATGAAATCTGAAGAATATGAATCTTTAAACATTTGCTTGATAATTTTGGCGTATTCTTCGAGGCGATGCGCATTATGATAAAAATCTTTCCCTGTCACAGTCACACGACACACGCTCTCGCCGTAAACTACACATCGCAGCGAATGCAGCTAAACCCGTCATGATGAACCTGGGAGACAGACAATGGTGGACTATGATAAGTCGTGAAAGGTTGGGTACTGATCTACGATGGCTACATCTTCAAAAATAGGACACCTCACCGTGATCTATGTTCCCCGAGTGTTCCCAATCATCGATGAACTAGCGGTTCGTTTTGCGTACGGGTTAATCTGCATACTATGTTCTGTAAAATCTGTAGTTTTTTCCATACTTTTCGTAGCTCGTAGTTTTTCATGAATTTCCGTAGAAACTACGGAGAATCCGTAGTAGTTGGAGTCTATGCATATGTAGCAGACCACCTGTACATCCGCTCTATGCGGCCAACTTGTGGCTTCTGTTTCTTATTCGTTCTCACGTTTTTTGGTCCGATTAAATGGAATTTTGGTCCAAATAAACGAATACTATTAGGCTTATGTACATAGGATTTGCTTCAATTCATTAGGATTTGGTCTGAAAAGTGGCTAGTCCGATTATCTGATGGTCTAATTAACCGGATTCGACTGTATATATAGAGAGAAGTATTAGAGGTTATTATTATTAACAACATATAAACATGTGTTTTAAATACTGCAAACAGAGTTTGAACAGAATATTTTAATTAACTAAAAAGTGAGATAAAATAAGAAGATGGAAAAATCATCAGATAAAAAAAATAAACAAACCAGTATCTAAAACATGGACATCAATTTTCCCAATCACTTCAAAACCTTCACCACTACAGTATCCACCAAAGGAATAAATTTTGTGACCCACTGCAACAGCAGCATGATTTACTCTTTGAGGACCTCCTTCTAAATGCACTGTCCAATACATACCTAGAAATTATACAGAATACCAATAGCATATTTTATCACATATAAAACAGAAATAGAAAGAAAACAGTTTTCTCTCACAAACATTAAAGCTTTGACACATTAATGCCTTAAACATTTTTTCTTCAAGCGTGTAGCTGAAAATCATGAATTTATACAGTTTGTCTCAATCTAACTTCAAATGAACGTCATCCCTGGAGCTGATCAAAATGTGTTATATTAAGTGCAGTAATTTCTAAAGTAGAGGTTTTTTTTTTT